GACCAAATAGTTGATCACGGGTCAACTACTAGGTCACATACCACAACCTCCTCCAATGTTTCCACCGCCACTTGCGACCAACCTCACACGATGGCCAATTGCGCCACCACCACCAACAACCACCTCCACCGCCACCGCCACCAAAAACCATCACCACCAAACATCACCGCCCCCACAACCACCAAACCCACAGCCACCAGTGCATCCAACACTACCATCACCGCTGTTGTCGCCAGAACCAACAACACCAACATCTCGCCGCCGCAGCCAATATCACAAACCACCACCAACAAAACACCAAACACCAAAAACCACCACCAAAGTCGTCGCCACATCCACAGTCAAACCGCCACCTCACCACCAACACCACAAAAATCATTTCAACAACCACCATCTGCACCACCACCACCTAAACCCTCCCCCAACGACACCAAAACTACTACCAAATTCAATAAAACCCACCCTAACCGCCAGATCCACAAACACCACCATCACCACAGAACACCATCAAAACTTAAAGAATAACAAATCTTCGACAGTAGTAGACCCACTAAGCGGAGCACACATCGACTTCGAGCGGTGGCACTAATCATCGCTCTTCGCAGTATTTGCAGCGGAGCCGACGGATCAACTTCGTCGAGCCATCTTCTCTTCATTACGAAGGCGATCGTAGGCGGTCGTCGTTGTGATGGCGGCAGCGCTCACATCCAGTAAGGGTGCTGCGGTGACGACAATGAAGGAGAGAGATCAGAAAAGAGACGGGACTGAGATGAGAGAGGAGGGAGAAGAGGATAGACGGCGGGCGGAGGCGGTTGTGTAGAGAGATTATGGAGGAAGGCGATGGGTTGTGGTACAGAGAGAGAGAGAGATGAGTGTGAGGATTAATTAGGGTTTGTGATGTATGTATTGGAGTATATATATTTTATAAATATATCTATTTTATAAAAATATTAATTAAAATAAAATATCTGATTTATGAAATTTGAAACTTCCCACCTGATTTTAGAATTGAGGATTTTAAAAGTAGGGTATTGTGTAATTTCCACTTGAAAGAATTCTACATTTTTTGATGTTCAAGTTTACAACAAATTGAATTGGAGGCTTTCTTCCAAACCTGGGCGACGTGCGGGGGCCGGGTTGAGACGCGGTGCGGCGCAGTGGTGCCATACTAGTGGTAGTTAGTTTGCCAGCCTTGGCTAGCTAAAGTTAGTCAAGTTGTAGGTTACTTATTAAACTATAACTTGTTCACACATCTCACTATATAAACAAGTATTTTTTCTATTGTAAACTTTCGATGTGGGATTTCGAACCATATGTAAGACACTTAAAATGAGCTTATTAACTTATGGGTCTATATTGGAGACTTTTTCAATTCATCCAAATTAATTGCAATAGCCAAAATCATTAAGTATTACATTTAATGGCTTATTTGGTAGAGATTAAAATCGGATTAAAATTGAAAAACTAGTCGTTATTGTTGATTTTTATTAAACGAATGAGACCCAATAGCGACTATATTTTCAATTTTAATTGGATTAAAATCCATTCCAAACAAACTCTTAATGATTTAACCCAATTAATTTAAATAAATTTGTGTTCTCCTTCGTGAGAATAACGAAATTATGTATTTACTTGTTTAATTATAGTTTACAAAAATTATCTTGGTGCAAATATAAAAGAGGTTTTGTTTTATAGTGATATAGTTGGAACCAGTATCATTGTACATATTGTTAATCAATGAATGTGCATATATTTGGGCTGAGCATAGAAAGGTCGTAGTATCCATGAAAGTGAAATTGCAAGCTTCAAGATCAATGTCAAATCGGATTAGTTGAAAAATAGCTATCGAAATGACTTTTTATGTCCGCAAGCACATATACATCCAACCTAGTTAAACTAGTCAAAGTAGAACATTCATTACTAGAGATGACAACGAGATGGGTTCAGGACGTGGGTCGGGGCGCGGGTTTGTCCCGTTTCCTATCTCGTTCGTTTTTTTTTAATTTCCAGTTAAAATAGAAATTCAAAATTTTAAAATTCAAAGCAAATAATGCTCAAACTAACTACATCAATATCCAAAGCAAGCACTCGAAACAAATAATGTCCAAAATCATTTTTTTTTAATTCTTCACAAGGCGGGGCCGCCCCGCCCCGCCTCGCCTCGCCTCACCAATCCTTCAGGGCGAGACGGGTTTTTTTGTCATTACTATCCATTACACGTTGATCTGAAATACTTTAGAAGTGTCGTAAAAGTAATATTTGATACCAATTTATTGAGAAAATTTGATGAGTCTCAGACGAATTAAAGAAAATAAAATTTAGGAATTTAAGATAAAAAAAAAATTTATTCTCTCAAAATTAAACTTCTATGATTCAATTTTTTGTGACGATAAAATATCACAAATGAGTAAATTTTTATACTAAATTTGATACATAAGAATTAATTGTTAATATATGTATTTAAACACCCATTAAATTTTCTAGATATATGAATAGAAATAAATTCATCTACAATAACTGTACTTCATGTAGATCAAGATTTATCAAGTCAAGATTCATTGAATCTAGATCAATATGAATGCTAATTAATTGAGAATTAATAACACGAAATTAATACATGATAATTAATTGTAAATACATGAATGTACAATAACTCTAGATTTATATAGATCAAGATTCATCAAGTCAATAATACTTTCTACGATTTTAGTGAGATTACTCAACGCGCTCAAGACTTTCTACGATTTTAGTGAGATTACGCACAGAAGAGGCTCGGCCCTTTTGTGTCTTGATAAATTGGGCCCCATTGAGAAGCCAGTCATTCATTGAATCTAAATGAAATTTTATGAATGTACATAAAATCATTTACCAGAATTTATACTGAATACTCACATAGGGTGGGCCACATGTGAGTTAAATATTGTTAAAAAAGAATGGGACCCACCCCTATGCGTGTATCTGTATAAATTCTGGTTTTTTTTTGTCTGTACATATAGTGCATCTCAATCTAAATTAATGTGAATGTTAATTAATTGAGAACTAATAACACGAAATCAATACATGACAAGGATTTAGTAGTATTTATTACATATTGAAAAACGAAAAGTAAGATATTATTGAAATAATTGAATTGTAGTAGGATTAAAATCGTCCAAAAAATCTCACTTGATGTGATATTTAATATATTATAGATATATGTGAAATCAATCCATTAATTACAAGCATGTTATTTATATATTGTAGATATACTCATGGAAAGTGCTTAATTGATCCATTAAGTTTTATCTTTCGTTTCTTTTTCATTTGTTTCGAGAAATTGATACCAATTCTTTCTTGTTCTCATGATAAAGAGAAAAACTTTAAGTTGCAAAATATCTTGTAGACATAATCCATTATATTTCAAAGTTTAATACATATATGAATATTCCAAAAAGATATTTGCTACAAAATATATTTAGCTTATTTTTTATTTCACGATCTGAAATAGTTATTAGATCCAATCCCAGAACTCTGTAGTCCAATTCACAAAACGGGAAGGGAAAAACACACATATCAAGACCCTCAAACACACACACACACACACTTATCAGACTTTTTATTCGCGTATGGACACCGACAACGTGTTTTCGTACACAATATTAGACTGTATTGTCTAGTAGAGCATACCGAACGTACCACAATACTACTCATTTGTAAGCATCGGGATTGGCGTGGAGGTAACTCTCAATAGCCTTGAACATGGCGTGTGCCCTTTCTTTCCCTTCCTTGATCTTCTCATGTGCGATTTCCTTAATTCCTTTGGTGTGGTACGTGCTTTTGGTTTTGCAGACGGATCCTCCATCAGCCGAAGCTTCTATTTTGATGTCGTACGAGATTTTCTCAAGGTCGCCGGCTTCAAGAACATCTCCTTCAATGATGCTGTAGCTGTATTTGCAGTTGGCTTCATCAATCGCGTCCACGCGGTGCTTCACGCTCTTGTATTGGCTGCCTGCATGTATAAGAATCCGATATCAAGTTCTAGTTTAGCAGAGATTCTTTAAAATTCATTTTTCCGTAAATTCATTATCAATCGCTTATACTTTCAATTAAATAATTTTATACGTAAATTCATAATTTTTCTTTACTTTTTAACTGCACGTATAAAAAATTTAACAGCAAAATCTAAATCAAACACGCTCTAAAATCATTTTATCGATTTTTTTCTTCGTGTGTGATGCTTCTGAAAAAGAAAGTATAAAAGGTAGAGTCAGAGAGGTGCTAAGGCTAATCTCATCGTAGTATTTTTCATTTCTAACAAGTGCATATCCCAAAATGATATTTGTCATCGACAAAAAGTGGACGATGTCTTGTCCAGTAGGTACTTTGCATAAAGTATTGAATGACTGTTTTGGCATGATTTTTATTTTTACTTTTTATGAAAGAAAATGTATTTTTGAAGAAGCTTCGACTTCCTATAAAAACACTCTAGCCAAACAAAACACAATTTTATTAAAAAATAAGTTTTGACTTTTCAAAA